ATGGGATCTGAGTCTTCTCTTGGCCCTGGGCAGGAACATTTTGTTTTAAACTGCCCAAAACATCATAATATTACTTGTAAAGGACAAAAACATGCCCTTGTCCTCTCCTTTAAGAGTTAAGTCAGCTGGGAGGTGATGGCTCACACCTTTAATCCCAGCTCTGGGGAGGCAGAGCCAGGTGGATCTCTGTGAGTTCAAGGCCAGCCTGGTCTACAGAGTGAGTTCCAGGACAGCCAGGGCTACACAGAGAAACTCTGTCTCGAAAAACTAAAAAGGAAAAAAAAAAAAGACTTAAGTCAAGTGGACCAGCCAATCCCCTGGGCAGGAACCACCTCTCAGCAAGTTTTGTGTTCTGGAAAGTTTAAGAAGTAGTATAAAGCCTACATGTTGCCATGGCGGTCGCTGACCATGCTCACATTCACCCTGGGAGTGTGTTTTCCTCTTCAGTGATCTCTTTGGCCATTGTCTGTTCTCACCCTGTGAGAATGACTTTCTCTAAAAACGGTGTCTTTGGTCACTGTCCACTTTCATCCTTGAGAGTCACTTACACTATTCTATAATAATTCTGCCTGATTTCTGCACTGTGTTCTGTGTGTTCTCTGAAATCATTCCATAAGGATCACAAGATTCTGAGAACAATAATAGGAAAAAACTCTACTTCATTAGAATATAGAAAGGAGTCTTTTTGCAGGATGGGGGTGGAGCAAGAGAGAATCTCATGTGGCCCAGGTTGGTATCAAACTCACTACATAGCTGAGGATAGTTTTGAACTCTGGATTCTCCTGCCCCCATCCCCAAGTGCTAGAATTATAGGCATGTACCGTCATGCTCAGATCAGAAATCATTATATTTTTCTCATGCATTCAATAAAACCTGAATATGCTTGATGTTATTAAGATATACTATTAATTTTTCATTTTACTTTATCATCCCTACATATATGCTTACCTATTTAAGGAGGAAATGAAATGACATCCAGGTTGACCTCCATTGGAGGGGTTGTTCCTGCTGGAATGAAATAGTAGACTTCCTGTGGTCACCATCTGGATGGGTGACAAGTAGGTGAGTTTAATTGTGGTACTCTGTCTTGTTCTGTTTTGTCGCATGCAGCCCAGGCTGGCCTCCAACTCTCTATGTGGCTGAAGATAACCTTCAACTCCTGACTCTCCCACCTCTAGCTCCCCAGTGCTAAGATTGCGAGCACGTGCCACCATGCCAGGTTTACGTGTATAGAGGCTAAAAACTCAGGGACCATCCAAGCGAGGCAAACACTCTGCCAACTGAACTTACCACATCCTCTGCCTATTTTGCTTTGATTTTGGTTTTTAGTGCTGGGGACCAGCCTTAGCAGTTTTGGGGTTTTGAAGGATGATATATTTGGAAGGCGCAGTAGTGATTTAGATTTTATAGCAGTTTTTTTACCTGAAGCATGGGAAGGGATTTTTTTTGTTGTTGTTAGAGGCATTAATTTTTTATTTATTATGGAGGATTGGCTTGAAATGGGAAGTTCAGGCAGCTTTGCTTGAGTTGTAGTCTGCTTTATTATAGACGAAAATAGCAGGGCTTTTTTATAGGTATTTGAGTTTTTTTTTTTTTTTTAAATGCTTGGCCACCCACTTTTTGATGTTGCTTACTCTTTTTTATAACTTGTAATTTAAAGTTTTTTGGGGGGATAGCCAAGGCTTGTTTTGTGAATGAAAATGATAAATTTTTTTAAACTTTTTTTTAATTGAATTTTTTAAAAGCAATTTTTAAAGGATTTTTTTATACATGTGATTTTTACTTGACCCTGTTTGACCCATTACAACTTTTGTTTACCTTTTTTAGCCTTAATTTTTGATTGAGGGGACTGCAGAATTTTTGAACAGGTTTTTACTAGGTTGTGATGCAAAATACTCACCCTTTGATTTTTTTTTAAGCCCCACATTGGGTGCCACTTGTCAGGGACCAGCCTTAGCAGTTTTAGGGGTTTAAAGGATGGGATACCTGGAAGGCGCAGCAATGACTTAGAGATAGTGCTTGTGCAAGCTGACAGGTTACTTTGGGCTTTTGCAGTTGCTAAGTAGCTTTTTTTGCTACAGTTTTGTTTTTTTGGTTTTTTTTTTTTAGCTTTTTTAGCTTTTGCTTTTGTCCTGATAACCTTAGTTTTTTATCATTATAAGCAAAGGGGGAACAGAAAGAAAAGGGGAAATTATTTAATACAAAATGTTTTTATGATTTTAAAGGTTATTTTTTAGAAAATTACTAATATATTTTTTATTAAACACAGGAACTATTTTAGACTTAACACCAAAGCAAGCATAATTTATTTTTATTATTAATGATTATATAATTTTGAGCACTTGACCTAGAGGCTAGCAACATGCAATTTTGCAAAAAAAGGTAAAAATAAGAACAGTGGTTAATGTATTAGACAGTTTTTTTTTAAATACAGACTGCTTTGACCTTAAGACCCCTGCTGCCACCTAAGTTTTTTTTAGCCCTTTGCAAATACCAAGCCCCATGACTGGTGGGCCACAATGACCTTAGATAAGAAATTTGTTTTTGCAAGTTAGCAACTTTTGTTTTTTTTATATTTTAATAATTTTAAGGAAGACCTAATTTAATTTTCAGAGTTTTTATGAAAGAAAGCTTACCTTTTTGGCAGCTTTTTGAAATTTAGGAACCAAGAAAGCTTGTAGCACTTACTTTATTAATTGTTACATTATTTTTACACTTTTTAAGGAGGAATAAAAAATATTTGGATTAAAGTTGCTATTTTTTTTTTGGTGGAGGCCACTTTTTTTTTAATTTTAGGTTTTTACACTTTTAGTTTGTTATTTTATTTACATGTCACTTTATTTACAGTTTTTAGCCAATACCCCTTAGGGTTTTAAGTTTTACACAATGCCCTTGGAATATTTTTAGAAACTGAATTATTTTTTATGGCCAATTAGAGTTCAGTGTGTTGATACACATTATACCATGTGCTATAGTTGACCACACATTTGATACAGTTTATTCAAGCCTAAAAAACTTTTTTAGGCTGCAGGGTTTTTTTTTAATGAACTGCATAACTGCCTTAACCCCAGCCTGAGTGATTATTTTTTTGTGAAATTTACTTCACTCCTTTTTTGTATTACAGAAATTACCATTGATTTAGGAACACAGAACATGAAGATTAAATAGAAGAAAAAGACTAGTATTACAAGAAGTATTTATATGGAGGAGGACATGACATGTGCACGCTATAAAGCATGACCTTGGGACATGTAGGCATTTTTGCCTTGGCCCTCTAGAGGCATGCTAAGCAGAAGATCCCCTTTTTTTCAGTCTTTGCTGGCAGCATGTCAGCCATCTTATATGCCGTCCCCAGCATCTTAGTTGTTGTTTTTTGTTTGTTTGTTTGTTTGTTTGTTTGTTTTTAAGCAGAGGCTTGAGACAGACTAAAAAGACAAAAAAATTAAAGGAACATGAGAAGAAGGAGGCCCTCACTCAAGAATCTGGTTAAAGCTTTTACCATCTAAGAAGCAAGAATTCCAACACAGTCAACATTTTCTGTAAATGCTGCCAACATAGAAATATCATTCCTTTCATGTGTAGATGTTTTATGTTAAAGTAACAGTGAACCTGGCTTAAGGCTTGAGTGTGTGTGAGCTGGGGTAGGATCTCATTCCTTCCTCTGGACGTTGTGGGGGATCTCAGGAAGACTGTTAGCTTTGTGCGGTAAAGGTGCCCTGCTTTTCTATAATCTAAACCTTTACTTTTCAATAGGTTCCTCTGCCTCTCTTGGAAGAAAATAACTTCCACATGCAACAAAATTCTCTGTGACGATTGTAAAGGCAGTGAAGTGTGATCCCCCCTTAGAGAACCCTACACCCATCTTCAAAGGTGTGCTTTTTATCTTTCTAAGCTCTTCCTTCTTTGAACCCTCTTTTGAAGCTTGCATTAAAAACATCTTTACTCTACCCCGACTCTGTACCATAGTGCCCAGTTGTGACACTCTCTTCTGCACTGAAGCCACAAATCCCAGTTTAGTTCTAGAAGACTAAGGATACTTCTCAGGTGGCGGAGGGGGACACTAGGATGCTATGTTCCTGTCCCTCACACACAACTCACAGACTCTCATGTGACCACCCAAGCTGGTAATAAAGCTGTGGTGTAATAAGGCTGGCTTCTGATCCTTCTGCCTCCACCTCTCAGGTGCTGGGACTCCAGGTGTGGGCATCACCACGCCTGGCTACTCCTTGTTTTTGATATTTGAAAATGTCCATCATAAAAGAAGTGTTTATAAGTTTGAAGCATACAAAATGCTGGCATTCATTATACTTAAATTTTTCACATTTTATTTTAGGTGTATGAGCGTTTTGACTATATGTATGTCTGTGCACCATGTGTATGCAGTGCCTGGGGAGGCCAAAAGACAAGAGCTGGATCCCCTGAAACTGTAATTATAGATCGTGATGAACCCTATGTGGGTGCTGGGAACTGAACGGAGGTTCTTTGGAAGAGCATCCAGAACTCTTAACCACTGAGCCATCTCTCCAGCTCTTTCATTGATTATAAGAGATTGGAAGGTGATCCTCTCTCCTGTAACTGGAAGTTTCTCCGGTCCCACCCCGGCCCACAGTCTCACAGCCACTTATAAAATAATCATTCAGAGGCTTATATTAATTACGAACTGGATGGCCTATGGCTCAAGCTTCTTGCTAGCTAGCTCTTATAACTTAACTCATGTCTGTTAATCTGTAAGTTGCCTCGTGGCTGTGGCATTACCGGTCTGCTGGCATCTTGCTGCTCCTTGGGCAGGGGCTGATGTCTCCCCTACTCTGCCTTCTTTTCCCCCTGAATCTCTACTTGGATTTCCCACCTGGCTGTAAGCTTTCTTGCCATAGGCCAAAACAGCTTTATTTACTAACCAAAGGAAACACCATATATTCAAAGCGTACAGAAAGACATCCACAGCCCTCTCTGAATTTTTATTGGGCATATTTCATATTTATTTTGCCAATCTTAAAACTTTTTAGGGAAGAGGGGGCAAGCATAGAGTGTTCACCTTTTCCTATCGTTCCTAGAGGATGGATTACTTCAATCACACATGACTACGTGTTTCCAAACAGAATCGGCATGCATTCTTTCAATAGCTTCGTTTTTTTATTTAGGGAGCTACAGGCTGAAACTCAGGTGTGTCTGTCTTCCTATCACATCTACATCTAGATGGGGGCATTTCTGACTGTGCCCCTATCCCAGGTGTTTTTCCAGGGCCAGATTCGGTCCTCTTACACACACACACACACACACACACACACACACACACACACACACACACACACACACGAGAGGTTTTCTTAGACTCCGAAAAGTTGTCTATTGTCTAAAGAAATTACATGTGAAATACAGAGATGACTAATTTACCTTCCTTCCTCCTTCTCCTCTCCCTTCCTCCTCCCTCTTCCTTCTTTTCCTCCTCTACACATTTCTTTCCTCCTCCCTCTCCCTTCCCCTTTCCTTCTTCTTCTTTTCCTACTCCTTCTCCTCCTTCCTTTCCTTCTACGTCCCCTCACCCAGCTGGAACACTCGGCGTTTTCCTGAGTTGAAATGGTGCAGCTGGAATAAAGCAAAGCGTCCCCGGCCTGGGCAGGTTAGTCACTGCCAGCGCCACTGCAGGCAGGTAGCCAGGACTGTGTTCTTTTCTTGGGGCCATAGTACACCGGGAAAGTGACCTGGGTGTAGAATCCATCTGCTCAGAACGGCCGCACTGGGGCGACACCTCCGCAGTCGCCCAGGGACGCAGAGCGTGGACAGTCCATCTCAGGGCTACCTGGAGAGAAACTCTGAAACTTGCCACCCGAATTACCGAGGACCAGCAGCCAGGGCAGGCGACAAGTGAATAGGGCTGAAGTTAGGTGTGCGCACAAAGCTGCAGAGTGGACCCAAAGGAGTTTGCGTCTGCAGTGAAGACAACACTAAGGAGCGAAAAGGGAGATCGCCGGCTTGTACAGGTGAGGGCCCCCGCACTTCGTGGGACAAGAGCAGCCTCACTGAGGAGGGGATGCCACTGCGGGCCGCCGGGGCTTCTTCCAAAGCAGGGGTGGGGATGCTGAGTCACAGATCTGTCACCACTTTGCACCTCTTCGCAACCCCGGGGGCTAAAGCAAAAGCGAAAGCGAATGCTCCTGGCTGCCGGCTGGTCCTGGAGCTGAACTCGCCACCTCCCAGAGACCCCAGCCTTGCGTCCCGGTGGGTCACTGAGAGGGACGATCGGCCATGGCTTCACCGCAGCTCCGGGGCTGTGGAGTCCACGCCCTCCAGGTGTTGCTGCTACTGCTGCTGCTGTTGTTCCCGCTGCGGGTGACGCCGGGTAAGGAGCGCCTTGAGCCCGAACAGGGGAATAGAGGGGGACTCGAACACCCAGCTGAACTTGACCCGTGGGGGTCACGACTTCACGGGACTGAGCCAGGAGTTCAGCTGGAGAGGATCACAGCGGGGCGTGGGGGTTGTTGTGGTGGTGGTGGGGTCGAGACACGTGGAGGCAGCCGGAGAGCCCCTTACCCTGCTGCAGGCTGGCTCCTGAGTTGAGCGACCCCACTGACGTTTCCGAGACTTAGGGAGGAGAGCAGGTCTGACAAGCTCAACAAGAGTCAGGGAACTTGGAGACATGTGTGACTGTGCCTCTGCCAGCCCACACGCGCAGCTATGGGGTGTCGCACGGTGTGGGGTTCCAGCAGGGGCTCGAGGAAAAACCACCCCTCACGACTTTCAGATCAAAGTAAATTAGATGGAAGGCACTGGGCAAAGGACTGCGCCGCGGGTGGAAGAAAACGTGCAGGGCAGGTTGCATATCTGAACGCTGGGAACAACTCCCAGTTCTCAAGGGCGCAGGAAGCTCGGGGCTGGGATGGTTGGAAAGCAGGGCAGCCTGTGCTCCCAGGAAAGAGGGGGTGTTATATGTTCCAGAACATGTGGCTTAGATCTAATCTCATCGGGAAGAACGAGTGAGACCCTAGTTTGGTTCCTAAAAGAGTAGAAGGAAAGAGAAAGAATAGATGGGTCTAGCAACGTCCTGGCCCGGGATGCTTCATCTTTTTATAATCATGAAATTCTTCAGAGACTGATAAAAATCTATGTACTCTCTGTACAGAAATTACGTGAAGCCGGGTGGTGGTGGCGCACGCCTTTAATCCCAGCACTCGGGAGGCAGAGCCAGGCGGATCTCTGTGAGTTCAAGGCCAGCCTGGGCTACCAAGTGAGTTCCAGGAAAAGGCGCAAAGCTACACAGAGAGACCCTGTCTCGAAAAACCAAAAAAAAAAAAAAAAAAAGAAATTACGTGAAAGCACATGTTTGCAAAATGTGCACATGATTTGGGGACCGAGGACTCCCTCATTGAAGGTCATCCATGGACTTCCCTGTGTTAGCAACTCCTTATCCCCGAGTATGTTTTAAAGCAAGATTTCCCAGTGATGGGCATCCAATCCAGTCTCCTTGGGACTTGGCCATAGCCATCCCACTCACACTTGCTCCTGGGGTTGGCTCTGTAGGGGTATTATGGGGTTTCACTGTCCCAAGGCTGTTATTCTTGGGTCCCCACCCTCCATCTTTGAAGCTGGGATGTGTTGGTAAATTCCCTTTAACTGGATAGCAAAGAATGTTCCTGGGCTGCCAGAAATGGCCTGCAGCTATTTCAAATAGTCTGAAAGTGAATGTAGTTTTAGTCTTGCTCAGCCTAGAGGAAGCACCTCCCCGTTGCCCAAGGAAGGCCTTTCGCCAACTCAGGTGCTACACACAATCTCACTCTTTGACCTTACGACGTTTTTGCCATCAGCTGGCAACTGAATCGTGCTTTTAAGAACAGCCGTATTGGGTCATAACTGACTCCAGTAAACTGCATATATTTAAGTTGTATAGTTTGGTAAGTTTCAAGATAAAAGTGTACACTCTTGAAGCTATCACCATAATCAAGACAGGGACATGCCCATTACTGTCAAGTTCCCTATGTCCTCCACAATCCTTGTCTCCTGCCCCAGTCTGCAATGGCTTATCATTTCCCTGCAGATTTGTTGCACTTTCTAGAATTTTATATAAATGGAATTATACGGCATGTGCTCTTTCGTGTATGGCTTCTTTAGCTCAGTAATTATTCTAAGGTTTTATTCATGTTGTAACTTGAATCAACAGTAAATTCCCGCCAAATCTGGTGGAACATGCTTACTCATAATCCCAAGCACTCCTAAGACTGAGGCAGGAGGATCTCTAGATTCAAGGACAGTCTGTGTTACATGGTAAGATCTAAAAGCAAAAGTAAAGAAAGAAATAGAAGGGTGGCTACCGGGGAGATGCTTTAGTGGGCAGAGACACTCACCACTCAGATTTGAGGACCCGAACTCATATGAGCAGGATGAACAGCAGAATAGGGTGGGGTGAGAGGCAGGCATGGGAGAACCCAGAAGGTCAGAGGTGGGAAAACAATGTGTGTGTGTGTGTGTGTGTGTGTGTGTGTGTGTGTGTGTGTGTGTGAGAGAGAGAGAGAGAGAGAGAGAGAGAGAGAGAGAGAGAGAGAGAGAGAGAGAGAGAGAGAGAAACAAGGCAGAAGGTGAGGAATGACTCACTACTCTCTTGCCTCAGCATCCCAAGTGCCAGGTTACAGGAGTGTGTGCGCCGCCATACCCAGCAAAACATTCATTGTTAGAGATGTGGTTGAACTTCGGTTGCCTCCTGATTATGGGCATTTAGGTTGTCTCAGCATGTTTAATGTTCTCTAACTGTTCAAACCCAGCAATATTTAAGAGGTAGCATTTTCTTCCTCCTGTTCTTTCCTTGAGACAGGGTATTGTTATGTAGCACTGGCTGGCCTAGAACTCTCCAAGTAGACCAGGCTCGCTTTGCCAGAGATCTACCTCCCAAGTGCTGGGATTAAAGGTGTGCACCACAATGCCTGGCCCCAGTGATTCTCTTTCTTCTACAATCCCTTCACATGTGTTCTAGGAATCACTTTGATGTCATTCATCACATATGGCAGTAGATGTTAGTGGAAGGCTTTCTCCTTGAAGGACTTGATACTCTTTGAGCAATATGGTAGGGGACTGGAGGTCTGTGGAGGAAATAAATACATTGCTAGGGCTGCACCGCGGACAGGTGCTCTAAGAGGGTGGCGAGCAAACTGTAGTCAGGAGAGCCTGGAGGCTGCAGGTGAGACTGAGGCTTCTGCAATAGTTCAGGGAGTGGTGAAGAAATCCTCAAGCAGAGCGGTATCTATGGGAGACCAGAGCGAGAGACGTCCTCCTAAGTCCAAGCAGTGTGGAACAGGTTTCACTCTTTTCCTGTCGTTTGAGCTGCAACCTTAACCACCCGGCCTCCTGACTCTCAGAGTAGATTAGGAAACCTAGTTAATGAAACGGAGGGACGAAGAAGCATGGATGAGTTTGGGGCAATGAGCTGAGTACAGCCTGTACTTATTGCACCATGAGGAAGTATCTTGGGTTGGCTGGCACTTGAGCCAGGAAGAAAAATAGGTTACTGGAAGCCTAGCTGCCCTGACTGTTTGGGCATGTCTGATGCAGGGTGAGCCTCCAGAGGGCCAGAGTCACAGTTTCTCTTCTTGGTACCTTAGCACCTATCACAGTGTTCAAACGGGAGACTAAGGGAAGAAAATGCTGTGATGGAGTCTGACTCCACTTGAAGAGTGAGAGAGGTGTGCTAACCTGACAACTCTTGAACTCCAGATACAAGAGTAGGTCAGGGCTCCTTGCCCATCTTAGACACTATAAACCAACTTGATAAAGAAGCCTGATCCACAGGTTCTGGGAACCAGAAAGAGGTGTAGTCCTGTGCTTCATGCAAATGATCGTTAGGACTGGCTATGTGAGAACTTTCAAAGTAGCACAACTGTAAGTTAGCCCCGGGTTCCATAACTTCATCCACTATATGTATTCATAAGTCCCCAACTTAGAAATGCCTACTGTATATGGGTATATGTATATGGGGCTTAGAATTGGGAAGGGAATACCAGGGAACTGTGAAATACGTGTACCATCTTCATGGAGCTTATGATCTAGCAGACAAGATGAGACTTGCTTACACTAGATATCTCCCATCCAAGTACCAACCAGGCTTGACCCTGCTTAGCTTCCAAGACCAGACAAGACCCATCAAGTTCGGTATGGTATGACTGTAGGCTTACATTGGATAGCTAAGATATATAGGGATATATAGAGAGATTGTAGTATCATTATAGTATTAAAGATGTAATTAAGGCTCAAGGAAATGAAAAGTTTTCAATACAATAGCATATATGGCTTCTAATGTAATTGCAAGACCATCTAGCTTTGTAAAATAAATAACTTACTACTACTTGGCTGTTTGGGTTGGCTGCAGTATTTTGATATTCTTATGCATTCAAATATCAGTTATTTTTAGGTTTATCTCTGAGGACCATTCATCATGGAAAGACCCAAGACAGACTTCCCCTTTTAGAAAAAAAAGACAAAGTAGATAATGCAAAGCCCTCTTAATACAAACACCCAGAAATGATTAGTATAACATAAATCTCTTTAAATTGATGGTTGGTAAAAGACAATTGTGTTGTTCAAAGAAAAAATAATAATGCATTGGTGTATGTACAGTGTATGTAAAAGCAAAATGTGTGATAACAATAACACAAAGGTTGGGAAAGGATATATGGAGAATAGTCTTTAAGGTTTTGTGGGGGCTGGGAGGAGAGGGTTACTGTGTATATGTTTGTTAAAGGGGAACATTTGATGTCCTGTTCTATAATTCTGTCTTATTCCTTTGTGATAGGGTCCCTCACTGAACCTGGAGCTAAGCTAGCAGAGATACACTTGTCTCCCCACACCTAGTTCTGGGGTTACACATGCATGCAACCACATCTAACTTTCTTACTTGAGTGTTGGGGATTTGAACTCAGATTGTCACACTTGGACATCAAGAGCTCCCACTGGCTGAACCATCTCTCCAGCCTTGTTTAAGGTTCTTATGCTATATGTGTGAAGTGATATAGTATCACTTGAGGTAAACAGTGTTACCCTAAAGCAACCTCTAAAACAATGCGATACTGAAACAAGGTATAGTGGTTCGTGATTGTAATCTCAGCAATTGCAAGACTGAGGAGGATAATTGCTGTGAGTTTGAGGAAAGGCTGGGCTACATAGAGAGTTCTAGGCCAGCCGGGGCTACATAGTGAGATCATGTCCAAAACTAAACCCCAATCAATAAAAAATTAATTAAAAATATAATGCAATAATGATTTTATTAGTAACACAATAAAGGAGATAAAATAGAATCAAGAAATACGTTCAAGTGAGTCATGGCCTGATCATGTCCACAGGAAATCCCACAGGACCTACAGAATTTATTAAGGGAAGTGAGTTCAGAGAGACTGCACAATTCCATGTCTATGTTTTTGTAAATCAACATGCAAAATGCTAACAAAAAAAAAACACTAGGAAATAAAAATGTAAATATGTTATTTTCTCTGGCATCAACAATACTAAATGCAGAACTCATGAGGCCCTAGCCCAACCTGAGTAGTTGGCAGTCCATCATAGTAGAGGGAGACTCATTTCTATTCACTGCTGTAGCCACTGATAAGTTGCCCATTCTCCAGTAAATAACTCCACACCCATGTTCATGCAAGCAACTGTACTAAAACCCTGTGTGTCATGGCTCATCAGATAAAAGCACAGGCTGCTCTTCCAGAAGACCCAGGTTCACAACCATTATAACCCCAGTTCCAGGGTATCCGGCGCCCTCTTTTGGTCCTGCAGGCACTGGTCATTCATAGAGTGAACAGACATTCATGCAGGCAAAAATACCATACACATAAAAAAAGAAATAATGAAAACAAAACAAAAAAACCAACAAAACCCATTTTTTAAAAAATTACGTATGTCTTAGTTAGGGTTTCTAATGCTGTGATGAAACACTATGACCAAAAAGCAAATTGAGGAGGAAAGGGTTTATTTGGCTTATGCTTCCATATCACAATTCATTATCAAAGGAATTCAAGACAGGATCTCAAGTAGGACAGGACCTTGGAAGCAGGAGCTAATGTAGAGGCCATGGAGGAGTGTTGCTTACTGGCTTGCCCCTCATGGCTTGCTCAACCTGCTTTCTTATAGAATCCAGGACCACTAAACCAGGGATGGCTCCACCCATAATGGGCTGAGCCCACCCCCATCAATCATTAATTAAGAAAATGCTCTACAGGCTTGCCTACATCCCCATCTTACGGAGGCATTTCCTCAACTGAGGCTCCCTCCTCTCAGATGACTCTAGCTTGTGTCAAACTGACATAACACTATCCAGCACAGTATGTACTTTAGAAAGACAGGAACGTAAAAGGAAGACTTGTTGGAAAGAAAAGGGGATAGAGGGACTGTGAAGGGGATAAGGGGGAATTGGGGAGTAGCTATTATCAAAACATTATATACATGCATGAAATTCGCAAAGAGTAAATTTAAAAAATACTTTAAAAAAAGTTAAACCCTTAGTACATCTGGCAAAAGATGTACAAGGCTAGCATGCTGAAAGCTCAAGGTGAGATGGCTCCTCTGGTAAAGCTGCTTGTTGTTAAGCCTGGAGACCTTTGTTTGAATCCCCAGAGCAAAACCCTATGGTGGAGGGGGAAAACTCCTGCAAGTTGTTCTCTGACTTACACACACACACACACACACACCAATGGAAATTTTAAAATACTATAAAACACTTCTTATAGAAATCATAAAAGACTTAAATCAAGGCAGACAGGATGTTTGGGTTTTGAGAAGACTTAACGTTACTTAGATATCTGTAGCTGAAGGTTTTCCTGTGCTCGCCCAGCACCAAGGTCCCACAGCCACTTATAAAACTCCTATGTCCCACCTGGTCCTGCAACCACTCAGACCCAAGTAAACACACAGAGGCTTATATTATTTATGAACTGGATGGCCTATGGCTCAAGCTTCTTGCTAGCTAGCTTTTATATCTTAAATTAGCCTATAACTATTGTAGCTGGAAGTTTTCCTGTGTCCCGCCCAGTCCATAGCTGCTCAGACCCAAGTAAACACACAGAGGCTTATATTAATTAAAACTGCTCAGCCATTAGCTCAGGCCTACCACTGACTAGCTCTTACATTTAAACTGAGCCCATTTTTGTTCATCTATATGTTGCCACGTGTTCCGTGGCTTTACCTGTGTGCCATTACATGCTGCTCCCTGGACGTGGAGGGCTGGTGTCTCCTGCCTCAGCCTTTCTCTTCCCAGAATTCTCCTTGTCTGCTTATCCTACCTGCACTTCCTGCCTGTCTACTGACCAGTCAGCATTTTATTAAACCAGTGTACAAAAGCATTATCCCACAGCAGATGTCAGTTGTTCCCTGAGCTGACCTACAGTTATAACACCCCTCCAGTGGGGATTTCAGCAGGAAACTGGTATGCTAATTCTATAATTCAGTAAAAAGGCACTGAATTGAAGAGTCAACTTTGAAGGTAATTAACAAAGATTTACACACACACATGGTTCAAGACTTGTGAGGAGGGAATGACAAGTTGATAAACAGATGAAGCAATAGAGTGGGGACACACAAGCACACACTTGGTCCTGGCTCAGGATCCTATGAAAATACCACTGGATATCTACCTGTGATGAGAGAGATGTGTGAGAGGTTAGCTGTCAGGGAAGGAAAGGTCAATATGACAAAGCTCACCTGACTTTGATCCCCAGGGCCCACGTGATGGAAGGACAGAACTGATTTCTGCAGGTTGTCCTCTGACCACACAAATGCCACAGCATGAATGTGGCCATGCAGACACACACACACACACACACACACACACACACACACACACACAGAGTAAATAAATAAACAAATAAATGTTTTTTAAAAAAACTTTTAGCAAAAAGGAAGGATTGGAAATGTCGATTTAGACTTCTGGAAAAATATTCTGAGAAATAAATAGAACCTGCTCAGGAAACTATAGTAGTGAGCTCTTGGGGAAAAAAGTTTGAGACAGTCTCATGTAGCCCAGGCTAGCCTCCAAATGGCTATGTAGCTGAGGGTGCCCTTGAATTTCTGGTTCTCCTGTTTCTACCTCCTGAGTACTGGGATCACAAGCATGCATCACCATACCTGGCTTTAATACAGGCCTTGGATGCAGGCCATGCTGAGGACAGAGGAAAGGATGTGGAAGCATCATCAGACTTGGGATGAGTATACTAACTGGCTCCATGTTCACTCCGCTATTAACTGTTCTGTTTCCGTCATTCACTCATTTCTTGACTTTTTAAGATTTATTTTTTATTTGTGTGTATGTCTATGTCTATGTGAGTGTCTGCCATGTGTTGTGTAGGTATCCAAGAGGGCCTGAAGATGTGGCAGATCCCCTGGAGCTGGAGTCATAGGTAGTCATGAGCCACCTGATGTGGGTCCTGGGAAGCAAACTCGGGCCCTCTGGAAGAGCAGCATTGACTCTCAAACACTGAGGCATCTTTTCAGCACCAACTTTGTTTTTTAAACTGCCATCACATCAGGAAGGTCTTCACAAGGTTCTGACAGTGGAAGGAGGTTCTGCAGGGCCACAATGACTGAGTCTTCTCATAGGAACATTTTGGAAATGCACCGGTCCTTGTTGACCAGATTGGACAGCTTGCCCTATTTTTCCCTTACTCATCTGGCTAATTCTTGCGCATCCTTGAACTTTTTCATGGTGGTACTTTTTCAGCAATTGCAATTAGACAGCAATGTCTATCAATCCCAGCTGTGTCCATCTGGTTTGTCTACCACACTCTGTACACCATGTTCCAGGAGCAGAAGCACTCCAGATGTGTAGAAGGGCCAAGCAGAACTTAGAGCAGTATCAGCCTTCAGGAAAAGGGTGTCCCGTGCCAAATTTGTTACCTCTGCAATTGCAAAGGCAGGAAATGTCCTGTGCAAGGCAGGGCTTCTTAGGCTCCTTTGCCTCCAAGGTTTCAGAATGACCTATGGCAGGGCCTGCCAGTTCTCTGGGGGAGGAAAACAGACTATGTGATCTCACAGGACCCTGGCATTAAGGAGCAGGCTTGAGGCAAACAAGAGAAGGGTAGCTAGATGCCTTTTCTCAAGCCTTTTCCCCTGGGGAAGTCACAAGTCCCTGGAGATACTGATCTGTGGCTGGATACTGTCCATCTACAAATGATGTAATAGCGCTCTCAGAGGTCCAAAAGTCCAAACATAGTTCAGGCTTTCTCAGCAGGAGGGAACGTTTTATCAAAGATCAGGCCTAGTATTTTTCACTGGACTCTTCATTCTGGTCTGTGCCAAATGTTCTTAAGGTTATTTGAACTGATTTGTATGGTTGCTCCTCCCCACCCCACACCATTACTCCATCCCTAAGTACTTTCCAAGCAATGTAATATATAGCAAAGTACCACAGACACAGATTTTAAAGTTTGGAAACATTGGGCTAAACACATGGAACTGCCAAGCTGCACACACACACACACACACACACACACACACACACACACACACACACGTAAATAAATAAATGTAATTTTTAGGTAAAGCCTTAGAATAGAAATTTAGAAGATCATATAAAGACGAATGTGTAAAAGCAATCCTCTTCAATGGAATTAATACCATAGTCTGAAAACGGTGTGAACAGGCTGCTGTTCACACCAGTGGGTTGTAAATAAATGACGTGCCATTTGCTCTGCTGCACTTGTAGACAGAGCAGCAGTTCCCAAAGTATGGTTCCTGGACCTGCAGGGCCTGTACCATCTGACACTTGGAAATACAGATTCCTAGGCTCCGCTCTGGGTTGGAGCCAGCTAGTTTTAACAAGTTCTTCAGGTAGGTCTAATACACATAACTCCTAAGCATCACTGAAAACGAGAACCCAAAGTGACAAGAGGCAGGAGACAGCAGAGCAGTGATTCCACATGGCAATGGTGAGTGAGCTTGCCCTGGGAAACGAAACTACAGCTAAAACACCAAATACAGAACCAATGGACACTGTGCACTTGCAAATAACAGCACTGGATGGACCCTGGTCATGGAAGAAGGAACTCTGAAAGGTGTGAATAGGTGACTAATAAGAAAAGGGATAGAGGGTCAGCATTATGAAAACCACAACTAGAGAAATAACCAGAGAAAAATGTCCTCACCAACGGGTAATCTTGGCCCGAACTGTCGTTGGCTCTTAAAGTTTCCTTCAAGAAGAATCCTGGTAGAGTGCTTGCCTACCATGTCCAAGGTCCTGAGTTTGATCCATAGCACTGAAGAAGAGGAAGAGGAGGAAGAGGAGGAGGAATCCTCAGAGGTCCTAGTCACAGTTAATTTTCTGTTGCATAATAGAATACCCAAGACTTGCTGATTTATAGAGTTAAAAGTCATTACCTTGTGATTCTATAACCTGGGACAACCTGGGACAAGGGATAGCACCATCTATTCTAAACTATATAATGCATTTGCAGCTACATGTGGGATAGTTATATAATGTTAAGTGGAATTATGATCTGGTTATTGTTTTCATTTGGAAATTAAGCATGATGTGAGGAGATGAGATTGTGTGTCAAGTTGACAAGATGTGGACTTATGATGGATAATCTTAGTTGTCAACTTGATTATATCTGTAATCAACTAAAATCCAAGCAGCTGGGCACACCTGGGAGGGATTTTCTTAGTTGGATCATCCGAGCCACACCTTCTGGTGGTAGCCCACATAAAAGGACATGGAAGAAGGAAGCTTCTGCTTTTTTGTCTGCTTGCCCTCACTCTGACTGGCAAGTTTGTCTGTTCTATTCCTGAGGCATTCCTTTGCTGGTATTAAAACCCAATTCTAGCCGGGCGGTGGTGGCGCACGCCTTTAATCCCAGCACTCGGGAGGCAGAGCCAGGCGGATCTCTGTGAGTTCGAGGCCAGCCTGGACTACCAAGTGAGTTCCAGGAAAGGCGCAAAGCTACACAGAGAAACCCTGTCTCGAAAAACCAAAAAAAATAAAAAAATAAAAAAATAAAATAAAACCCAATTCTTCAGGATTCCAATGTAGACTGAAGACTGGCAGATCTATGGGACTCCAGCACCAGAATGAGATGCTGAGATATCCAGTCTTCGTGGACTGAACAACTACCTATCAGGAGACAGCCATTGATGACTACCTTTTTTTTAAAAAAAAGTTTATTTATCTTTATTTTATGTGCATTGGTGTTTTGCCTGCATGTATGTCTGTGTAAGGGTGCAAGATGCCCTGGAACTGAAGTTACAGACAGTCGTGAGATGCCATGTGGGTGCTGGGAATTGAACCCAGGTCCTCTGGAAGAGCAGCCAGTGCTCTCAATCACTGAGCCATCTCTCCAGCCCTGATGACTACATTTTAATTATTGCTAACATGTTCTCCATTTTAAAGCCTCTCAAGTGATAAGTTCTAAATGTTTTCATCTCTACGTGTGCAATGAATGCTGAGAGTTGAAGGAATCCCAGAAGAAAAACTTCAAGACTTAGAAGATGTGAAACGGCTTGTTGATAACAATCCCTTAGTCTGAAAACGACAGAGAAAGCAGTGACCCTGAAAAAATAGGTGGATTCCCAGTCAAGCCATTTCAAATTAAAACCAGCTGGACTTAAGTAAAGGTGTTCTAAAAAGAAGTTGGGCAAGCACTGTGCAACCGGAGACCGGGGAGATAAAGAGGGGAGAACAAGGTGGGTGGAGCAATGGCTCAGCAGGTAGCAGCACTTTTCTCTTGGAGAGGACCCTGGTTCAGTTCCCAGCATCCATGTAGTGGCTCACAACCATCTCTAACTCTAGATCCTAAGTTTCAGGGGATCCAACGCCCTCCTCTGACCTTCATGGGCATCATGCACACAGGTAGTACACACACAAACATTCAGGTAAAATACTTCGACACAGACAATGAAGTAAAGAAATCTAATAAGAAAAGCAATACAAGAAATCAAACATCTGGGGGTGGAGAAATGGCTTAGTGGTTAAGAACACTGGCTGCTTGTCCATAGGACCCAGGTTTGATTCCCAGCACCCACATAGTGGTTCAAACCATCTGTAGCTCCAGTTCTAGGGGATCTGACAAGCTCTTCTGGAATCCCTGGGCACCAAGGATACATAAGGTTCACATATATTCAGGCACAGATTTTGTGGGGGTTTTTGTTGTTGTTGTTTTGGTTTTGTTTTTTTGTTTTGTTTTGTTTTTTGAGACAGGGTCTCTCTATGTAGTCCTGGCTGTCCTGGAGCTTGCTGTGTAGACCAGATTGGCTTCTAACTCAGAGCTCCTCCTTCCTTTGCCTCCCTAGTCCTGGGATTAAAAAGAAGTCAAACACAAGTATGAAATCCCCAACTAGAAATGACCGACTTTTTGGACTCCCCATTTGTTTCTAGGACTCTAGATATCACCTTCTAAAACACCTCATCCCTACAGTGCACAACCCTCCCACCACAGCCAGTTTTAGCAGGAGCTTTGTGGTGTGGGACCAACTCCAGCTATCTGGAGAATAGGCCCATCTGGAGCAGTCTGTCTTTGGGACAGTTCATCTTGTTCCTAGTTCCTTCTGAAAATGCGATGATAATCAGAGTAGCTGACTATAGAGAGAGAAATAAAACAAACTGAACTAAATTACACCAGGGGGTTTAACTCCAACTTGTTATTGAAAAAAAGTGTTTATCCATCATTCTTTCATTTGTTAGTTTTAGACAAGGTCTCACTATGTAGCTCTAGCTGGCCTTGAACTCACTATGAGGGCTAGATTGGCCTCAAACTTGCAGAGCTCTGCCTGCCTCTGCCTCCTGGGTGCTGGGATTAAAGGCTTGGGCCTCCATACCATACCTACCCATTATTCTTTTCACATGTATCTGAGCATCTAGTATTTCCAGGCATTGTACTAAGAGCAGGAATACAATGTTGAGCAAAGTAGATATGGTCTCTACCTTCACATAGCTCAGACTGGAGATGGTAAGACATACACTAATTATATAATATCAATACAAACTGCCAAGGAGGTCATAGAGTAAGAGGGGAAGACCACAGAACCTTAGGACTCAGGTTACCAAATCAAAAGCAAATCAAGGCTTTTCTGGCAGGTAACATGGCAGTCGGCAAGGAAGGGTGGTGGGAGGTAGCCAGCTGAGAGCGTGGTGGTGCTCTGTGAAGAAGGAGGGGCCATGCTGAGTGGCAAGGGAATCATCAAAGGAGAAGACATCTAGAAAGGCAGGTAGGGCAGATTCTGGGAAAGCCTTATAGGCTTCTTAGGCATTGGGGGTTTTACTGTGAGAGTAGCAGGCTGCCTAGGAAGAGTAAGGTTGTTAAGGATGCATGGCTAAGAATTATGCTGGTAAAGTTGTTAAGGATGCATGGCTAATGATTATGCTGATTGCTGGCAGTGGCATCCAGGGACACCAATCTGGAGACTATGGATCAAATACAACAATGTGACATCCCTCAAACAATCTTGATCCAGAATGGAGAAAGATGAATAGCTTTGAGAGGTATCATGAGCTTTGAGATGGATGGGCAATGGAGGGTAAAGGAGAGTGTGTTGATGATTATTGGGTATCTAACTGTGCTGAATGGCTGGCATTTAAAGGAGACTCCTGGAAGACTTGTAGATGATGGGTGGGTGTCCTTCCTCATCACATCCAAATGTTTGGACCTGGAATCTATGTTATGGGCCCCAGGAGAAGCTCTGCCCTACCGACTAAGCTATTTCTTATGTTCCCATAAGACACCCACAAATAAACCCCAGTCTTCTCATCTCTCTCCCCTCTCATGCACTTTCTAGGCACCACATGTCCAACCCCCATATCTGTTGAACATGCAAACATCCGGGTCAAGAATTACAGTGTGAACTCCAGGGAGAGGTATGTCTGTAATTTTGGTTTCAAACGGAAAGCCGGCACATCCACGCTGACTGAGTGTGTGATAAACAAGAACACAAACAGTGCCCACTGGACAACTCCTAACCTCAAGTGCATCAGTAAGTACCCGGTCCCCACACTGTCCTCCTGCCTCCTGTCAAGGCCGAACAGAGAGGAGAGATGAAGAGTGAGATCTGTGGGAGCCAAAGAAATCCATGCTGCGATCTGGGGCTAACTAAACCAGTGGGACATGAAGCAATCCTTCCTAGGGTGGGAATACATGGGCACTGGGTTCTGTTACCCAATTTCGGTTCTTATTCCTAGCTCTTCCACGTACCCATTTTGTGTCCTTAGGCACATCCCTTAGCTTCTTGGAACTCTGCTTGGTCACCAGAAAATGAACCTGGTAACAACAGTGGTTTGTAGAGTTAAGTGGAAGTTGACAAGCGTTAACTATTATGACCACCAGTGTTTGTTTTGGCATGATAGTAGCCAGAGGATTGGCTATGGTCTAGTGTGTATGCTCAAGCTGCTCAGGGAGCTTTTTGGATCTCTCACAAGGCAGAGGGCTACAGGAAGACATATAATGTTCTTGTTTGCCAGAACCAGGAAGTTGGGCCGACCTAACAAACAGAATATCCCTGGCTTACTTGACAGTGTTGTGTCCAATTAATGCTCAGGAGCAAAGAGGAAAGTTGTAAGAATCAACTTTTCTAAAAACTCACCCACGGTTGCACAAAGGCCAACATTCTTGGGGTAGAAGCCACTTGGTGGTGCTTCCAGGAATACTAATCCCCATTCTGCTCCCTAGAAAAATAAAAAGTGACCCATAATCCTCCAGGAGAGTACGTTCGGACAGGCACCCATTGCATATCTAATACACAGCTAGCAGCAGCCAGTGCAGGGTCATTCAGGACTTCTGTGGAAATGCCCTGCTCCATCTTCTGGGAAGTCCTGGAAGAGCCAGGCTTTCTCTCGGGCTGTCAGATTGCCTTCATCCTCCCCCCACCCCACCCCCAGCTTCAGGAGGAGTTTAGCAGAGGGAAGGGAAGAAGGGAGTCCTGATACCTGCTTACCTGCATAGTCTTTGAAGGAATGCTACAGGCTGGGGACCTGGCTTTCACAACATGATCCTGGGGGCCACATTCAAGATCCAAGCCATAACACTCAGGTTTCCTCAAACCCCTATATCTTCTGGTGAAGGAATCCAGGATGGACAGTTACTCTGAATAGGGGCAAGAAGGTAAGGAGGAAAGAAAGAAGCTGCAATTAGGATATTTTAAAATTAAATTTATTTATTTAATTTATTTGGGAGAGAGAGCATCACAGTTTGTGTGTGGAGGGCAAATCTGCAGGAGGTGTTTCTCTTCTTCTGCCATGTTGGGCCCAGGGATTTGAACTCAGATCTTCGGGCTTGATGGCAAGCATGTTCATCCACTGAGTCCTCAGGTTTTTTTTTCTTTTTGAGATATGTGTGTGCACTTGTTTATGTGTATGTGCATATGTGTTGTATTTGTATACACATGCATGTGGGTGTGCAGCGGGCATTCGCACATGTGCCCATGCATGTGAAGGCCAGAGGTCTATCTTAGGATGTCCATCTCTGTCACTCTACCTTATTTTTTGAAACGCTGTTTCTCACTGAACCCAGCACGCACTGATTGGCTAGTTGCTGACCTTTGTAAAGCTGTCTGTCTCCACTCCCTCCCAACAGCACTAGGGTTGCCGATGTGTGCCCTCGTGCCCAGATTTTTACACCAGTGTTGGGGATCAGAACTCAGACCCTCCTGCTTGTATGACAGGCACTTGACTGACAGCCATCTCTCTGGCCTTGTAACCAGAATTTCAGAACCCAAAGGCTGGAGTCCAGAATCTTTAAGTCTCGTCTGGTCCAAAGGTTTTGTTCCTTGTTCATTTTCCCGCCAGCAGCTCCCTCTGTAGTTTTCCCTAGCTCCTGTTCACTGAATGATACGCTCTCTATATAAGTGGACTCTGCTGAGTGATATTTTATTTTTCCCGTGAGAAACTAGTATGATAAAATTGAGCTGATAGCACATATATCATTCCCTACAAAAACTATTTGATGACTGACCTGTGGAAAATACTAGAAAAGCAGTTTACAGTCTGTGCATTTGAGTTGGGAAACCGGTATTCATTTCCTGTGTTTCTAGCCTTGTCCCAGGAAGCCAGAAACAGATGTGCACTGATGCACGGATTATTTTTATTTGTAACTAGCTCTGAAACTGCTCCAGATTCTGCCCTCAAAATCATAAATGCCATATGACTATCCTCTCTCTAGGAGACCCCTCCCTGGCTCACCAGAGTCCAGTGCTACCTTCCACAGTAGTGACGCCAAAGGCCATGACCCCACAGCCAGGGAGCCCCTCCCCTCCTGAAAAAGGTAGGAATACTGGGAAAAAATGTGAAAAACTATCATCTAGGATCCATTCCCCTATCATAGATACCATGGCCCACTGCTGTCGATTGCTGCAAACCCAGGCAACAGAACTTTATGTTGATGTCAAGATTCAGAACTTATAGTGACTTAGTTTTTTCAAAGTTACTTGATATCCAGAATTCTTAGTGGCTTAGAATCTACCATTAACATATTAGACCATAGTTAGCTGTAGACACTCACCATTGTCAAGAACTGAGGAGCATCTGAGATTTTATCTCACTTGTTTCTTTCTTTCTTTCTTTTTCTGTTTTCTTTCTTTTTTTTTTTTTCAAGACAGGGCTTCTCTGTGTAGCCTTGGCTGTCCTAGAACTCACACTCTGCAGACCAGGCTAGCCTGGAACACAGAAATCCGCCTGCCTGGCTCTCACTTGTTTCTTAACCTGTATCGACATTATTCATGGGCTTTCCCACGTGGCACAGGGAAGCAGGAGCATCAACTCATTATCTCTCAGGCCCATAGGGGCAACAGGATAAGTCAGAATAAACCCCTTTATGTTTAGCAACTATGCTGTGCCCAGGAAGCCTGGGCTCATAGAACCTGAATGTCTTATAATTGGCAATAAACATGCCTGTTCTTTGCTCCAAGGTAGGTACTGTGTCTTTCTTCCAAAGCACTTGGTATTATACATGTCCTTGGCAAGACAGTTCAAAGAATCAGGGGGTGGGGGGATGGGAGGGGAGTGGATGGGACCCTCTTTGGACAAGATGTGAAACAGTGTGAGGGACTCATTGGAGACATTTTTGGTGGTGGGTTGAGATGGGTCTCACTATGTAGCTCTGGTTGTCCTGCAACTCACTATATAGACCCGGGTGGCCTCAAGATCACAGAGATCTGCCTACCTCTGCCTCATGAGTGCTGGGATTAAAGGCATGCCCCACTCTGCCCAGCTTCCCAATCTTCATCATTAGCAATTTAATTTGGATGCTTGTTCTACTTTCTTTTCTGTTGCTAGGTTAAAAAATCCCGACAAAAATCAACTTCAAGGAAAAAGGGTTTGTTTTATTTTACATTTCCAGGTTATAACCATCCCTGGGAAAGTCACGTGGCAGGAGCTGGAAGCAGCCAGTCACATCCCAGCCAGAGTCAGGAGCAGAGAGACAGGAATGCATGCATGTTCACTCGCACGCCTGTGCTTGGCTCAATTTCTCCACTCTTAAGACGGTACAGGAGCCCATGCCTATGGCATGGAGCCATCCACAGTGGATGAGTCTTCCCACATCAATTAATTTCATCAAGACAATCCCCCACAGACATGCTCATGGGTCAAACCAGTGTAGACAATTCCTCGTTGAGATTCCCTCCCCTTGGGTCAAGTTAAAGCTAACCATCATACTGCTATAATACAAAAACATGACATGAACGTCACCCCCTCTCTATCCCTGCCTTCCTTCTTTTCATCCTTCCTTTCTGACAGGGTCTCACTATGTATTCCTGGCTGGCTTCAAACTCACAGTCATTTTACCTCAGCCTCCAGGGTCCTCGGATTCCAGGCATATGCCGCTGAATCCAGCTCACTGTTTTGTACTCCATTTGAGTGTTATGTAATCTCCTCAATGTCCTCCTCACCATTTGTCTCATTGTTAAGAACATTTGCAACCCATGCTCTCCACCCTACGATATTCTCATTTTCTATTGAGTCTTAGTGTCACATCATCCAGTTTGTGGTTTCTCCCTGTTCCCTCCTTCCACCCCCAATTATGGGAAGCTCTGTTTTCAATCATTCTGAATTGCTCAATTGGTCACAACTTCCAGTGTGCTGGGTCTCAGCCTTTGATACACAGGAACTTGCTGAAGAACTCTAGTTGGTCTGGGGAAAGATCTGAGAATCAGCAGCTTTGGATGCTTCCCAGATGTTTCTTAGGCATCCCAGGGTGAGGACTTCTCTTCTAAGGAGGATAGAGAGGTTTGTGAATTTCGTGCCATTGCATAGCATGGACAGCTCTAGCTCAAAAAATTAATAATAAAATAAGGCTGGGGCTGTAGCTCATTTGTAGAATGCTTGCCTAACATGCATAAGGCACTAGGTTCAACTTTCAATACTATTAGGAAACAATAATAATAAAATAAAATAAAGGAGGGTCTTCTCTGGTGAATAGGTTGCATGTAAACAGAAGAAAGTGGTAGGTACTTGACCCATTTAAGATAGAAGCGATTCCCAAGCTCCTTTGGTATGAATCACACAGTGTTTACTCAAGAGACAAGAATATTCAATTAGTCACTCACAGTCTTGCCTCTGTGTCCCAAATGCTTGGTCAGATGTTCCTCATTGAGACAAAAATGTGCAGACACAGCCCATCAATGGTGATGCACGCCTTTAATCCCAGCATTTGGGAGGCAGAGGCAAGTAGATCTCAGTGAGTTCAAGGCCAGCCTGGTCTACAAAGTAAGATCCAGGACAGCCAGGACTGTTACACAGAAAAACCCTTTCTAAAAAAACCAAAAAAAAGTGCAGACACAGCCTTGGACACTAACTGGTATGCTCATGAGTGCTTGTATGTGAATGCTCTGCAGGGCTGGTAGTTTGTGGAGGGAGGAATACATCTAATTAGTACCAATGAACTGAAGGGTATGCACACATATTACCCGGTGGATGGCTAAGAGAGTGTGGGAACAGGACACCATGCTCCTGGAGCACCAAGATACCCGGCCTCCCAGCATACTTTCCTCAGACTGCATTTCCCAGGTGTGATATTCGTCACAGTAGAAGACCCATTTTCATTTGGAAGGTAATAGAAAATAGGGAATGGATAGGCCACTTTAGAGTTTAGGGGCATCCATCTACCAATGATGAACAAGGAAGACGGGTACCGAAACCCAGGCATCCTCATGCCAGCAGGAACTAAATCAGAATCCTCTACTCAGATACTGTCTAGGGCATTCAGGGGACCTGGATTCCTCTTATTTCAAGATGTCATGTCAACATGTCAAACAGTCACGTATGGTGGTACACACCTTTAATCCCAGCACTCAGGAGGCAGAGGCAGGGAGCTGTGTGTGAGTTTGAGGCCATCCTGGTTTACATAACAAGTTCTGGGCCAGCCAGGGATGCATGATAGACCCTGTCTCAAAAAAAAAAAAAAAAAAAAAATTGAAAGGGAAAACTAGCATCCCAGCTGTCTTTCACAAATACAATTCCACCTACATTTTGGCATCAAGTCTTTGAGAATATAAGATACTTTCTTCAGAAAACAGGCAGATCTGCTCAATCTCTCAAGGGTTTTGTTTTGTTTTGTTTTTAATGCACATAATAAACAAACTCTTTACGAGTTATCAAAAGTCCCACAGACCGGTGGATAGCTATGCCACCTACTTAGAGGACAGTTTGCTGGGAGTAGGCTGGCCAGGACAGGCTCCCTAAAGTGGGTCCTCAGGTTCCAGACACTAGTCTGAATTTTGATGTCTGTCTTGGAATTTCCTGCAGAACCAGAAGCCTTATCTCCCAAATCAGATACCACATTGGCCACAGAGACAGCTATTGTGCCAGGCTCCCGGCTGACAGCATCCCAACCAGCTTCTGCAGGAACCACAGAGACAGGCAGTCATGAGTCCTCCCAAGCCCCATCTCTTGCAGCAACAATGACTTTGGAGCCTACAGCCTCCACTTCCCTCAGGATACCAGGTTAGCCCAAGCTCTGCACAAGGACAGGCCAGTCCCCCACATACTGCTTCTGAGACCTGGGTTGAGATCTTGCAGGAGGGTTCTGCATTAGCTTTGGACCACTCAGGCTCAAGTCAGAATTTGAATGGTCTCTGTAATTCCCCACTGTAGGGATAGCCAGGAAGGAAACCCCCACTTCTCAGATGTGACATGACTTATTGATGTGCATGTCAGAGAATGGCAGAACATTTCATAGCATGGAGCTGTGGTCTGTGGGGTAGAGAAGCCACTGGCAATTGTTCCTCTCTAAGGCATGGCCAATGCTTAGCAGCAAGTTACCCTGTTTGTTTTTGCTAAGACCGGTTTGGTGATATCAGTTCCGTGTCCTTTATGGTTCTAAAATGGTAGCTAATCTCTCCAGCTTAGTGAGAACCTAGTGCTCTTGGGGCTCCAACCCTGACTCAGCTTTCCTCTCTCCTCTACAGAGATTTCTCCAAGCAGTTCCAAAATGACCAAAGGTGAGTATTTTCTTTTGTCTGATGTATTTATAACCAGGGACTATAAAATAGATCCAGCACGCTCATCAGCCTGTTCCAGACCACTCCAGCACAGTCACCAACAGTATACCTTTGCCTCTCTGAAATGTCTCCGTCAGAAAATAACTTGTATAATACCCTGTTTATGGAATTTGTCATTGGACTTGATTACTTATCTTAAGATCAGTAGCTTCTGTCACACTAGTGGTGTACAAAGGAGAGAGTTAGTACACCACAAAAGAGTTTGATGGCTCAGCTACTCACAGGTAAGCTCCACCAGGCTCCACTCACATCCAGGGTATATCAGGAAACCACAGGAGCCTGCTGCTGCCACTAAGACAAGGCTGTTCTGCCAGAAGCTTCACAGACCTCACAGGCTGGAGCACTGTGCACTGTACAGAGAGATAGTTCAGACGCTCTGTCCAAATGGTTTCTGTTGATAAAAAGACATGGAGCATTACAGTTAGAAGAAAAAGAAAGAGGCTGTACAATCAATGGAGGAGGAAAACAGAAAAGGGTTTGTGAAAAGGAGGAAGAGAGACCTTAGTGAAACAAAAGAGCAGGAGAGAAGGGAGGGCTTGGGCGCAGCTCAGTGACAGTGCACTTGCTTGTCAAGGCCAAGGCCAAGCTTGATCTCCGGTGCCATAAAAAAAGGTGTGGAGTGCAGAGAGCAGGAATCTAATCCTTTAGGCTGACAAACTTTAAAAGGAACAAAAGGCACTAGAGAGATGGCTCAGTGGTAAAGGGTACTTACTGCTCTTGTAGAGGACCAGACTTTGGTTCCCAGCATCCCAGACAGGCAGCTTATAATCGCTTGTAACTCCAGCTCCAGGGGATACAACAGCCTTTGGGTACCTGCATGCTTGTATGTATGTACACATAAGTCTGTATGCGCACATGCACACACACACACACACACACACACACACACACACACACACACACACTTTTAAAAGAATAAAATATTCTTTTCTCTCTCTCTCTCTCTCTCTCTCTCTCTCTCTCTCTCTCTCTCTCTCTCTCTCCTATCTCTCTCTTTTTGAGACAGGGTTTCTCTGTGTAACAGCTCTGGCTGTCCTGGAACTTACTCTATAGACCAGGCTGTTCTCGAACTCACAGAGATCCCCAGCCTTTGCCTCCCAAGTGCAGAGATGAAAGGTGTGTGCCAACACTGCCTATCTCTATTTTCTATGTGTAAGTTTTCCTGCTGGAGAATGGCCCACTGGCTTTTTGGTCCTATTTTACCATCAGTAAGTAACATCTGGGAAGCAGACGTAGCTTTAGATATATTAGCAGTTTATTGGTTACAGTGATTTTGTAAATGACCAAATGAAGACAGGCCTGCTGGTAAAGGTCTGTATTCTCAGGTACTCAGGAGGCTGAGGCAGGAGGATTGCAAGCTCAAGGCCAGCCTGGACAACTCAGTGAAACCCTATATCAAAATTAAGTGTGTAAAGAGGACTGGGGATATAACAGCTCAGTAGTAGAGTACTTGCTCAGTCCTCAGCACTGCAAAAAGAAAAAAAGTAGATAGAAAGATAGTAGATAGATGGGCAGATAGATGCGTGGATAGATAGACGATAGATAGATAGATAGATAGATAGATAGATAGATAGATGATAGATAGATAGATAGATAGATAGATAGATAGATAGATAGATAGATAGATGAGAGAGAGAGAGAGAGAGATGAAAGCCGGGTGGTGGTAGTGCACGCCTTTAATCCCAACACTCGGGAGGCAGAGCCAGGCGGATCTCTGTGAGTTCGAGGCCAGGCTGGTCTACAGAGTGAGATCCAGGAGAGGCACCAAAGCTACACAGAGAAACCCTGTCACAAAAACAAAACAAAACAAAAGATAGATAGATGATAGATGAAAACAAGACATTTTAGAAAGTCTCTGAAGAGTATTTTATTGGAAAAACTCACTTACTGACAAGGACATATAAACAAAAACATATTCATGATTTAAGAGAACAACATATAAGAATTAGGCAAACTAATTTTTCTCTATGACACATAGTACATTAATCTTTCCACATAGTTTTGAATTTTTTGTTTTTCAAATTCTTAATAATTTGCACATGGTCTGAAAATCAAAAATTAAACAGCATGGATGCATATGCCTGTAATCCCAGCACTCAGAAGGCTAGGGCAGGAGGATTACTGTGAGTTTAAGATCTGTCTGGGTTACATAGTGAGTATCAAGACCATTGTGGCTACATAACACCATACTTCAAGAAATTTAAAACAAAAAACAGTCCAAAGTTAGCACAGAATGAAGAGAATGGAAGTCTTGCCTCTGACTCAAAGCCTTCCTGGAGACAGACAGCAAACTCCTTTGCTTCCTTCTGATTGGCGGTGTAAAAACAAACACACACAGGAACAGTATAAGGATAGGTATTTCACACCTCTTCACTTACGGGGCTGTCCTGATTTCCTTTTCGTTGCTATAATAAAACACTCTAACCAAAACAACTTGGGTAGGAAAGTGTTTATTTGGCTTATACTTCCAGGTCACAGTCCATCACCGAGGAAAGTCAGAGCAGAAACTCAAGCAGGAGTTTGAAGCAGAAGCCAAGGAGGAATGCTCTGTGCTCATTCACTCTCTGGCTCATTCTTTGCTAGCTTTCTTTAAAGTTTCTAAAAATGTTTTTCTAGAAGGCTATTTCTTATTATTTTTAAAACTCTGTGTGTGTGTGTGTGTGTGTGTGTGTGTGTGTGTGTGTGTGTGTGTGTGTGTGTGTCTGAGGATGCGCACATGCATGCACATGAGGGCAAGTGCTCTCGAAGGCCAGAGGCATCCCAACCTCCTGGAACAAGAGTTACAGGCAACTGTGAGCCACCTGATGTGATGCTCAGAACCAAACTCAGATCCTCCGAAAGAGCGGTGTGTGCTCTTAACTGCTGAACCATCGCTCCAGTCCCATCGGCTAGCTTTCTTATACAGCCAGGACCATCTGACCAGGGACCAGTGCTTTACACAGTGGGCTGGACCCCCTTCCTCAGTTAACTGTCAAAGAAATGCCCCATAGACATGCACACAGGCCAACCTGATCTAGGCAATTTCTCAATTAAGGCTTCTCCTCTCATCACTCTAGACTGTATCAAAGTGACAATGAACGTTCACTGGGACACTGACATATCTTAGCAATTCTCCATATGTGCACATAAAAACCACCTTACTCTCTTTAATGGCTACAGAATATTCTACCTCCATACAGACCTGAACACAATTTATTTAGCCAATCTCATCTTTGGACATGTCATTATTTACTGTCTTGAGTTACATTACCAACAGTAACTAATTGGAAACTTGGGTGCAATTATACTTAGTGGATGAAAATCTACATGTAAAAATTTCTATATAAAGCTTCAAGCAATTTAGGATCCAATACTTATTTTTCCAGTTCATGGCTTTCATGACAAAGATAATTCTGTGCAAGGGATGGTGAGAAATATAAAGGTTTTTAAATTTTAAAAATCACTTTATGTATAAATAAGGTGTTCTTCCTTAAACATAGACATGAAGATGCTGAATTATGAGAGAAGTCAATTGGTTAGTAAAGAAATGAAAATGGGATATTAAAAGTTCTTATTGTCTGCTAATAAAGTGCAAATTGAAATTATAACCAGTCTAGTTTTGTAAAAGTATTTGTGACAGTGTCTTCAAAGTTTGCCATTTACACTATCCATCCCAGCCACCCAAGATCTTCGAGTACCCCACCATTCATTTGCATAGTGTAGATACCCATTGGCTCCTTGGACACAGGGTGGGGTGCTTTTTCTTCATGAATAAGCAATCAGCTAAGCGCATCTCTGTAAGGCAGTATTAACAATGTTCAACCATAGTGATTGCTTAGTCAATTAACTGATAATCAACCCTCTGATATTTTGTTTTATTGTTTTAGTTTTATAATAAGGATGGAACAAAGGGCACGCTAGACAGATACTCTTCACTGAGTTGTATCCCCAGTCTATAATGGTTAAAATAAGCTATACAAATGGTTCTCACATTTATTTTCTTTTAAAATTTTTATTTTTATGTTATATATATGTACCTGAGTGCATGTTGAAAGTGCATACAGGAACCTGCAGAGGTCAAAAGAGGGCATCAGATCCCCTTGGAACTGATTTTAAAAGACATTGGGGTTGGGAAGATGACCCAGTGGGTAAATGCAATTGCCATTCAATGTGAGGACCTGAACTGCTGTGTGGGTTCTATGAACTGGACCTGGATCCTTGGCAAGAGCAGTATGCACTCTTACTCACTCAGCTACCTCTCCAGGCCCAGTTATCACTATTTTTAAAAGTTGTTCTTGTTTACTTGTTTGTTTGCTTTTCAAGACAGGTTTTCTCTGTCTAGTCCTGGCTGTCCTGGAAGTTGCTCTGTAGACCAGGTTGGCCTTGAACTCACATAGATCCACCTGCCTCTGTCTCCCAAGTGCTGGGATTAAAAGTGTGCACCACCACCGCCGGCTTAGAAGTTGTTCCTTTTAATTCAACAGAAAACAGCCAATAGCTGATGCTCAATAAATACTGGATGAGTTAGCAAATGAGTACCAGAACTTAAAGACTTGAACATTTTAATGGTGAAGAAATGTGGTTTCATTGTCTTAATTATCAACTGCTTCATTTGACAGCCTTTCCTGCCAAGGACTTATTCAATTATCCCAGTATCTTCTCTCTGATCTTTACCTAGGTGGTTATTAAAAACTCCTGGTTTTATTTTTAAAAAATCTTCATTATTGGGCTGGAGAGATGGCTCAGTCGTTAAAGCCTAGGCTCACAACCAAAAATATTACAGTTCGGTTCCCAGCACCCATGGCTGTCTCTCCAGCCAGTTTAAAAAAAAAATCTTCATTATTACGTGTGTGTGTGTGTGTGTGTGTGTGTGTGTGTGTGTGTGTGTGTATGCCACTTGTGGGAGTGGGTTCTCTCCTTCCACCATCTGGTTCCCAGGGATTGAACCCAGGCTGTCAGGGTTCCCAATTGTCATTGAACCCAACGAGCTAGCTTACCAGCCCAAGACTCCTGACTACAGACTCCAAGCCCAGTGTGCCACCTGCAATAGCACTTACGGTGGGTGCTGGACTTAGTTCACTAGGAGTGAAAGGTTACTTTCCAGAATGGTACTGGGCCTGAGTCTTTTCCACATGTGACATGAGTTTGTTGCCGTTGACAGGCTCTGTCTGCATTTGACGGGGACTGTCATTCATCGACTTGTCCAGTGACAACTGAAATCTTTACCAGTGGTGGTCCTAAGTTGCTATGAAATACTGATTTCTGATCTTCACAGACCTTAGGGTTGGGAAGATGGCTCAGTGGGTAAAAGCAGTTGCCACGCAAGTGTGAGGACCTGAGTTCAACTCTCAGAACCCATGCAAAGCTGGGTATGATAGCTCACATCTGTAATCCCGGTGCTCCTAAGGAGAGATAGGGGGAGGCACAGATTTAAGACCCTCTACAAGATCTTGGGCCAGTCGGCCTGACTTCACAGTAGAGAATAACAAAGAAACCTGTCTCAAAAATGGTGGACAGAGGACCTGAGGTTGTCCCCCAATCTCCTTACATGTGCCCTCTTGCCTCCCACTGTGGTCCAAGCACGCCCATGTTCATACAAAAGAATGTAGACACACACACACACACACACACACACACACACACACACACAGAGAGAGAGAGAGAGAGAGAGAGAGAGAGAGAGAATCATCTTAAATTTAATTTATGAAAATTTAAAAGCTAGGCTAGCGCAATCCTTTTTTGAGTATCTGATTTGGATACAATATTTCTTTTATTTATTTACTTTTTAGTCCTAAGGATAGAACCTAGGGTCTCGCTGCATGGTAGACAAGCACTGTAACTACATCCTCGGGTCCTGACCTCAACTCTTCTTACGAACCCAGGACAGTAACAGACAAACAAAAAAGCCTCAGCCAGGAGTAAGGAGCAGATGTTCATCTTCCAGCACCTGACGCAGATTCGCGGTAGTTTTCCTGCAGGACTGGCCTGATCTGCCTGGGTCCTGCTAAGGAATCTGTTCCCCCTGTGTTCACACACAGCGATTTTATCATCCTCCATGAATACCGGCCCCGCCTGTCTCCACTGCCTTCTCCATCTTGGCCCCAGCCTACACTGTGGCCTGTAGAGGAAATGGGGCCAGCAGCTCTCATGGCCTTTGGTACCATAATCATCTGCTCTCCTCCATTTCCTTCCTCCCCTTTCCTTTCTCACATCAAATCTCCATTTCTTCCTTTTCCCTCCAGAAAGGGTGGAGAACTTGCCAGATGATCTGTTAATTCCTTGTCTCCACAAGTCTGGTTTCAATTTCTTGTCCAGCATTGCGTGGATGTAGTTGAAAAAGAAACTGGGGTTAAGTCACCAGTTTTGTGATATCACTGGCCTAGGAGCCTCCTTTCCTGATGATTCTGCAGTTGTTTCTTCTCATTCCAAAAGCAATAGGAAGAGCATTGTGAAAGTAGAACTACTACTTCCTACCACTAATTCCTCTTTTCCAGTAAGTCACTCCTCAGCAGTAAAGGGGTGCTAAGCCTACCAGCCAGTGGAAGACAGTTTATATGCAACACATCCTTCGAAAAAAAATCCAATCTGAGACTTCAAGATATCTTTCATTAATTTATTGTGTTTCCTAATGTTTTTGTAACAACTTTGCCATGATGATTTTTTACTTTCTGTAAAGATGTCTTCTTTCTGTGATTTTACTGCTTCTTCTGACATTAGTGTCATTTCAAAACTCCGAGGGCAACAAAAAAATAATTTTAGTAAAAGTAAAGATTATTAGAGTCTCACCATGACTTAATACTTTGTACCCAACAGCCATTAGATTCAAGAGTCTTCTGTGCATGGGATTATGACTTGTTGAAAATTACTTTGAGTGTATTTCAGCCAGCTTTCCTATTTAGTTTATCCTTTTGAGATTTATTTTTATTGCTTTTAATTATATGGAAGGGAGTATGTGCATGTGAATGCAGGTGCCCACAGAAGCCAGAGGAGGGCATCGAATCCCCTAGAGTCGGGGTTACAGGCAGCTGAGTTGCCCAGTGTGTATGGTGGGAACCAAACTTCAGTCTTCTGTAGAAGCAGTATGTGCTCTTGATTACTGAGCTTCTCTCCAGGCCCAAGAAATGTTGATAATGGCAAGCTGGCTAGAAGGGCATCTGTCCTAGGCAAGAATGGAAATTACCAGCAATTTACCGATTCTTGACAGTGAATGGCCTCATGGGACTTTCAAGTGGTGCTAGCTTAGTTCTGTTCTTTTTCAGTGGCCATCTCCACATCGGTCTTGGTCCTTCTGGTTGGTGCAGGAGTTGTGGTTTTCCTTGCCTGGTACATCAGATCAAGGTGAGTGGCACAGGAGAGCTGCAGGACTCAATTCTTCCTTTCCACCCGAAAAGAGATTTGCCAGTCAACAAATTGGCTTTTGATGAGCTTACCTAGATTTCTGATTTCTAGTTTCTGTCTCACACAAAACTGTTTACTTAATCATGGCTTAAAAAGCTGTTTATCCTTTAGAAGATTTTTTTTTTTTTTTGGTTTTTTTCGAGACAGGGTTTCTCTGTGTAGCTTTGCGCCTTTTCCTGGAACTCACTTGGTAGCCCAGGCTGGCCTCGAACTCACAGAGATCCGCCTGGCTCTGCCTCCCGAGTGCTGGGATTAAAGGCATGCGCCACCACCGCCCGGCTTATCCTTTAGAAGATATTATATGAACTGTGGAAGACAGCACTGACCAAGATACGTAGGGCCTAAAACTCGAGGGAACTCCAAGACAAGTAGACACACAGACAGAATACAGAGTCTCTCCCTGCTCCTGCTGTCCTCGAGCTCATTAGTGTATTTGGTTAATGCTAAATGATAAGAATTGTTTTTAAGGCCTCGTGGCTATCCAGCCACTTTTGTCAGTATCAAGTCTGGTCTAGCCAAGGTCCCAGTCTCCTCTCCCCCTTCCTTGCTGTCTGTGCTGGTTTTTAGCAGAGAGTTGGCAGTCTGGTGTGAGAGTGGGATGGCATGATTTGTTCCAGCAACATTGGTAAACCTCTGGTGGATGGATGGTGAGGTTGAAAATACCCAAATAGGATTAAAGTTCTTGCTGTTTGCACATCTGAGCAGTTTAGGTTTTCCTAATCTCTGAGCAACACAGATCTCTGAAAGCCAGGCTGGTGTCTGCTAATGCAACACGCTCGGTACAGGGCTTGCATGTCTGATAAGAAGTATGTTGGTCCAAGACTGGCCTTGGTCTCTTTTCAAAGCCTGTGAATAAACTATTTTACAGGCAAGCTTCACAGCCACGTGGTGTTGAGATGGAAACCATGGAAGCAGTGCCAATGAGTGTGAGGACCAGCAGCACTGAGGATGACCCAGGAACCTAACCTCACAACCTCCGAAACCCAGGGAAACCTGCCCCGCTGAGTCTAAAGAGAAGACCTGAAGGCAGCACTGCTGTTAGCTACGGAGCTCCAGGACCCAGGGAGCTGGGCACCAGGAGAAAGCACATCGTGATCACATAGGCCTCCGGAATGATCTGTTTTACTGTGTCTGGGTGCCTCCCAAATGCACGCCTGGGTTCTCCAGCATCTGGAAGGACACCACCCTTCCAGCTGGCTCAGCGTCGAGGCCAACTTCCCCAAGTACAAGCAGCTTGAGCTCTCCTGGGAGACTCTCATGGTCTCCATAAAAGCGTCTAACTTCACTCCGACGTCAACTCAAAATAGTGGACAGTGGTTCTCAATCTGTGGGTCATGACCCCTTTGGGGTTGTCAAATGACTCTATCAAAGGGGTCACATATCAGACATCCTGTGTATTAGATATTTACATTACGATTCATAACAGTAGCAAAATTACAGTTGTGAAGTCATCATAAAAATAATCTTGTGGTTGGGGGTCACCACAAGATGAGGAATTACACTAAAGAGACACAGCATTAGGAAAGTTGAGAACTACTGTGGTAGACTCTCTTCCCTGTCCCCACCCTGACTTACAGTTTACAGAGCTCAGCAACACACCGGAAGCTCCCACTTCTCTCCAAGGCTCCTCTGGTACGGGGGATGTCTGTAAAGAAGACCACAGCTGCTGAAGACTTAGTTGTCGCTGCTTTGCACCTATTGGACAAGAGCAGAGAAAGGCAGAAGAGATATTGAGCCAATAAATCCTTTTGTATAGGATTTGTGACGAAAACTGAACTTAGTGAACTCTTACATATATATATTTATACTTCCTTTTCTGTTATATCTACATATAGTGTATGATTTATATTTGAAAGTGCCTTGTATAGACAAAATAAAATATCTATTTTCAGTACAAAAACATATTAAAATTATCAACAAGAGAAATGTTCCACCAAGGAAAAAAGGAGAAGGAGGATTAATAAGATATCTAATGTGATTAAACTCAGGTTTTCCTTCAAAAAAAAAAAAAGAGGAATGGGAAAAGCCCTCGCTTAGAACTGGCACAGATTATAGCTTTGGCAGGATTTCTAACCAAATTTCATGGTGAGTAGAAGCAATATAATCTAAACAATGGTAAGTCTGAGCTCAGCTAGCATAGGATGCATGCATATTCCTGCTCTCTCTCTCTCTCTCTCTCTCTCTCTCTCACTTATGACAACTATTTCTAAAATCATAGGACGAATTCAACTCTTCATTCTATTCATTAATTTATTATTATTATTAATCTATTGCAGAGCAATGGATAAAAAGAGGGCCTCGCCGGGCGGTGGTGGCGCACGCCTTTAATCCCAGCACTCGGGAGGCAGAGCCAGGCGGATCTCTGTGAGTTCGAGGCCAGCCTGGGCTACCAAGTGAGTCCCAGGAAAGGCGCAAAGCTACGCAGAGAAACCCTGTCTCGAAAAACCAAAAAAAAAAAAAAAAAAAAGAGGGCCTCACCCATGTTAGGCAAGTACTCTACCACTGAGTCATATCCCCGATCTCCTACCTCCTAAATTTACAGATAAAAAAGAAATTGTAGCCTGGAGAGGTTGACGTGCCCAGAGTCACGTAGTTCAACTACTGCCACCACTGGGACAGAACTGGAGTGGGAAGAGGGGTAGGAGAGGAGTCCTAGTTGTGAGTCAGCTACCAACTGGTCCTCCTACATGCCCCGGAAAAGGGCAACAACCATAAGCATTCAGGAGGTGGGTTAAGCACCTGATTCATAAGCTACCATTCCTCACTGACTTCTACCAGTCATCAATTCACGTGGTTTCTTTCATTAAAACGAAAGGAAGCCTTTCCACATAGCTTACTTGGGCTTCCTCACACACAGCATGGTGGTCTCTGTCTAGTCGGGCTGTTTACATGGTGGTCAATACAAAATCAAAACTGCCAGTCCCCTTCAAGTAGGTAGGCCAGAAACAGACCTGTATAACTTTTGCTATCTATCTATAACCTTTACTATGTATTGGTCAAAGCAAGTCATAAACCAGCCCAGATTCAAGGGCAAGGAAATGTCAAGAGGGAAAGAAAGCATCCACGAATCTGTCTTTGGTAAGCAGCTGCCATACTTTTGAAGACAGCCAGAGAAGTATAATTTTCCTTTAGTTCTCAGCTCTTAGTCAATGCCAATAAATGTGAGATGAGTGGATGAGAATATAATGATCTGGTATTGAGCTAGGTATTGAGACATCCAGTTTTTCGTTTGTTTTGTTTTGTTTTTGAGACAGGGTTTCTCTGTGTAGCCTTGACTGTCCTGGAGCTCACTCTGCAGATCAGGCTGACCTCAGATTCTCAAAGATCCACCTGCCTCTGCCTCCTGAGTAAAACTGAGATGTCCAGTTTTAATAATTAGTTTGGGATGGGAAGGTACACAGAACTCTGAAGGACTTGAAAATTGTATAGCTCTTAAAACCTTCAGCCCAGGTAATCTTCACTGGCTACAGATCTAATTTACAGTTCCCTTTTCCAACATTACTTGCCCTCCACCATATTAGCCATAAAAAAAAAGAAAGAAAACACATTGATGGCTCTTCACCATTTCTATTCTGACTTGATGTGGGAATTAAACTCTTTTGCATCTTTTCTAGCTCCCTTTTAGATGCGAGAGAGTAGTGAGAACAGGAAACAAAAGACACACGCTTTTAGATTTATTTTATGTGAATGAGTATTGTGTCTGTATGCATATCTGTGCACCACATGTGTGCCTGGTGACAGAGGTCAGAAGACGGCATCAAGATCCCTGAACTGGAATTGCTGCTCCTTGTGAGCTGCCCTGTGTGCGCTGGGGATTGAACTTAGACCCTCTGCAAGTGCAGCCAGTGCTTCTACTGCTGAGCCGCCTCCTCATCATGATCCCCAAGGTTCTAATTGCTCACTCTGCTTTTGCATTTAGGATCTTTTACTATTACTTAAGATTGCCCTGTTCTGGCCTGCAAACCTCAAAGAAAGTAGTGCAGATTCTTGAGTCCACGTGTTTGCTATTCCTTAGGTCTGTGCTCCTTTGAGGCAGGCAAGGCTCAGTCCAAACCAGCCTCTCACACTCCCTGGCCTGTGTTAGAATTCAGTGTGTGGATACTGTTCTACATATTCTAACTCATACTGCGCTGTCTCATGGAAGACTCTGTTATGGGTCTGGAGTCATTCAGAGATTCGCCAGTCTGACTACAAATATATTTTATAAAGAAGAGTCTATATTCAGATACTGGTGCCAGGGCTACACCCGGGACTTGGGATTCCCAAATGTAGCTTAGAGCCCCATTAGTCAGGGGTTTAAAAAGAAAAAGACAGGCAGGTAATGGTGGCACACGCCTTTTGTCCCAGCATTTGGGAGGCAGAGGCAGGTAGATCTCTGAGTTTGAGGCCAGTCTGATCTACAGAGTGAGTTCTAGGACAGCCAGGGCAACATAGGGAAACTCTGTCTCAAAAAAAAATTAATTGATTGATTGATTAAAATATAAATAGATAAATAAATAACAAAGGGAAAGAAAAAAAAGTTATGTTCTGTTTACATGCATCAAGGACTCAGTTTAGCAAACAGATGTCTTGCAGGTGTCTTGGCTATCTCGAACAAGCAAATTTTGTTTCCAGAAGCAGAAGCAGCAGTACTGACCAGTATCTTGCACAAACAAGGACAGGCAATTACAAGAATAGCTCCCAGCATTCCAAGAAGTTATCTATCCTTGGACAAGTTGGACATACAGGTTAGAGGCAATTTTGTTTTATAGGCCTCTTAAGCACAGTAATTAAACTTAAAACACAATGCTAGCTGTCACAGAATCCACTTTACTCTTTCCTTCCCTAAGTGCCTGACTATGAATCCTCACATTCTACTTGTGTTTACAGTCAAAATGTAATAGCCCCTCCTCACCAATTCTGGGTGTATTTGAGAGACCCAGTAAAGAAAGCAAAATGGCCGTTCCGAGGGTGAAAAAGACAAAAGTTTATTCCAAACTGCCAAGGCTGTCTCTCAGAAAAGCACAGAGAAGCAAGAGGGGGAAGAATTTTGAGAGTTATAAGAAAAATGGGTATCTGTGAGGATGGGAGCCTGTGAGCTGGAGGGAGGCTTTGACGTATATAACAAGTGCTTGTGAGTAGGGGCTGAGGGAGCCTGGAGGCTAGCATGGACCAACTTGATATTGAGATAGGCACCATAGGCGTATGTTAACGGGGGAGCCATATGTCCTTTTCATCAGAGATAAGGGAACTGACTTCTTTTGACATATGGGAACCAATCTCACAGATTCCTGAGGAATGATGACTTTTATCTAACAGCCAGAAATCCTTCTCCTACAGTCCAGGTTGAGCTCATTTCTTGATATTTGAACTGCCTTTTGGAGTTTGGAGAATTGGAATTTCCTTTTAACCTGACACTGGGGAACCTCCCCATTGTTGAGTACCTCATTGCCCACTAATACAAAGGCCAGCTGCTCCCTGGCCTAGGGCACCTGGACTAGGCCCTATCAGACGGAGCACCTCACCTAGCATTCTGGGTTATTGAATATGGAATGAATGAAATAACAGCAGAATGTGTCCAGCAATGGCCTTGCTACCAATGAACTGGCTGGGGACGTTTCACTCTATCAGATATGTGTGGTTAAATGACAATAACCCCCAAAGGATTATATATTTGAAGGTAGTGCCGAGAGCAAGGTATTGCTGTGACACCTGACAATGTTTTTTGTTATTGTTTTTGTTTGTTTTGTTTTGCTGAGAAATGTGGAAGACTTCAGGACTTTGGACTAGGAAAGAAGTTGAACACTATAAGTAAGGCTTAATAGGCCATTATTTTAGGATCTTGGAAGGCAGTAATGCTGAAAACAGTATCAAATGTGGAGGTCCAACAGCTCAAGAGGTTTCAGAGAGAAACAATATTAGCAACTAGGCTAGAAATCATTCTTGTGATATTTGGGGGAAGAATATGGTTGCTTTTTGCCCTTGTCCTATTAATCTGCCTGAGGCTGAATTGAGTTTTGGACTAATTTCATTGTCAGAGGAGATTTTAAGACAGCCCAATATTGACTCTGTCACTTGGTTATTAGTAATCTCTCTTCTTTCTACAATGAAAAGGAGCAAGCAGGGATCAAAACACAAAATGCACAGTTTGAGGAGAAAAAAGAGCACAGGACATTCAGTGTTGGAGCTGTGGCATGTGGTGGAAGACATAAGGAAAAATGAGATTAAGGGCATGTATTTAGGGTGAGAGTCCATTCAGCTAATCCTGCAATTTGTGAAAAGAAGAGGCCTAAGGGATTACCTGTTCCTAAAGAGCAAACAAACAAACAAACAAACCAAAGTTTATGCAAATGTAATTCAAGGGTGGGGACAGGTTCTATCCCAAGCAGGCAGCAGAACCTGGCAGCCTTGGTTGTGCTGTCTTTAGAGGCATGGAGGACACAAGAGGAAAGGGGTTCTAGAATCTTCTTCCAAGGTTAAGGAAAGCTCCTGAGGCCAGGCATGAAAGTCCAGAGAGGCCATTTCAGGGAACTGTGGCAGTAAAGCCTAAATTGTTTAGGAGACCCCCCAAGGTGTTGGAAGTGCCAGAGCTATGGCAAACCTACTAAGGAGAGCAACAGACAGGGAGTGTAATCAGGCAAACCTACTAAGGAGAGCAACAGACAGGGAGTGTAATCAGCCTAGGAGAGAGAAGTGTGTGGCAGGCAGCAAAGCTGGAAAGATGGAGTCACCTACGCCCTTTAACATCAGACATGGAGCTGCAGGATTTAGAGTGTGCCCTGATAGGTTTTGGTCTTGCTTTTGTCCAGTATTTCCTCACTATGTTCCCTTCCCTCCCTTTTGGAATGGTAGTGTATATTCTGTGCCATTGCATG